TCCCGCGGAGCAGGGAGCCTGATGCAGGGCTTGATCCCAGGACCATGAGATCACGACCCGAGCTGAAGGCAGACGCTTAATGACTGAGCCATCCAGGCGCCCCTCTCCTCTAGGATTTTGATGGATTCCTGTCTCACATTGAGGTCTTTCATCCATTTTGAGTTTATCTTTGTGTATGATGTTAGAGAATGATCGAATTTCATTCTTCTGCATGTGGCTGTCCAATTTTCCCAGCACCATTTATTGAAGACACTGTCTTTTTTCCATTACATGTTTTTTCCTGCTTTGTCGAAGATTATTTGACCACAGGGTTGAGGTTCCATATCTGGGCTCTCTGTTCTGTTCTATTGGTATATGTATCTGTTTTTGTGCCAGTACCATGCTGTCTTGGTGATCACAGCTTTGTAATATAGCTTGAAATCAGGCAACGTGATGCCCCCAGTTTTGTTTTCTTTTTCAATATTTCCTTGGCAATTCGGGGTCTTTTCTGATTCCACACAAATTTTAGGATCGTTTGCTCCAGCACTTTGAAAAATGCCATTGGTAGTTTGATCGGGATGGCATTGAAAGTATAGATTTCTCTGGGCAGCATAGATATTTTAACAATGTTTATTCTTCCGATCCACGAGCATGAAATGTTTTTCCATCTTTTTATGTCTTCTTCAATTTTTTTCATGAGTGTTCTGTTGTTTCTAGACTATAGATCCTTTACCTCTTTGGTTAGGTTTATTCCAAGGTATCTTATGGTTTTTGGTGCTATTGTAAATGGAATGGATTCTCTAATTTCTCTTTCTACAATTACATCATTAGTGTATAAGAAAGCAACTGATTTCTGTGCATTGATTTGTATCCTGCCACATTACTGAATTGCTGTATGAGTTCTAGTAATTTTGGGTTGGAATCTTTTGGGTTTTTCACATAAAATATTATGTTATCTGCGAAGAAAAAGAGTTTGACTTCTTCATTGCCAATTTGAATACCTTTTATTTCTTTTTGTTGTCTGAGTGCTGTTGCTAGGACTTCTAGTTCTTTGTTGAACAATAGTGGCAAGAGTGGGCAGCCTTGTCGTGCTCCTGATCTTAAGGGAAAGGCTCTTGGCTTTTCTCCATTGAGAATGATATTCACTGTGGGTTTTTCATAGAATGATTTTATGAACGTGAGGAATGTTCCCTCTATCCCTATACTCTGAAGAGTTTTAATCAGGAAAGGATGCTGTATTTTGTCAAATGCTTTTTCTGCATCAATTGAGAGGAGCATATGGTTTTTCTCTCTCCTCTTATTTATGTTTTCTATCACATTGATTGAATTGTGAATGTCGAACCACCCTTGCATCCCAGCGATAAATCCCACTAGGTCATGGTGAATGGTCTTTTTAATGTACTGTTGGATCCTATTAGCTAGGATCTTATTGAGAATTTTGGCATCCATATTCATCAGGGATATCGGTCTGAAATTCTCCTTTTTGATGAGGTCTTTGCCTGGTTTGGGGATCAAGGCAATGCTGGCCTCATAGACTGAGTCTGGAAGCCTTCCTTCTGTTTCTATTTTTTGAAACAGCTTCAGGAGAATAGGTATTATTTCTTCTTTGAATGTTTGGTAGAATTCCCCAGGGAATTCATCAGGTCCTGGATTGTTTTTTGGGGGAGGTTTTTGATCACTGCTTCAATCTCGTTACTGGTTTTTGGCCTATTCAGGTTATCAATTTCTTCCTGTTTCAGTCTTGGTAGTTTATAGGTTTCTAGGAATGCATCCATTCCTTCCAGGTTGCTTAATTTATTAGCATATAGTAGTTGATAATAATTTCTAATAATTGTTTCTATTTCCTTGGTGTTAGTCATGACCTGGGCTGGAGGCAGACGCTTAACCAACTGAGCAACCCGGGCACCCCATGCTTTTGAGATTATTTTTTTTGACTTTCACTTTTGACTATTTGTCATGTGTCTCTGTGTGGTTGTCATTTTATCCTACTTGGAATTTACTGAGCTTCTTTGGATTTGTAGATTCATGTTTTTCCTCAAATTTGTGTAGTATTTTACATTATTTCTTCAAATAATCTCTGTACGCCATTCTTTCTTTCTTCTTCTGGGACTCCCATAGTAGAACATAAACTGGTCTAATTGATAAAGTCCCAAAAGTTCCTTGGGTTCGGTTCATTTTTCTTTAATCTATTTTTTCCTCCTGAGCTTTAATAATTTCAAATGTCTTCAAGTCTCCTAATTCTTTCTTTTGCTTGCAATTCTTCTGTTGGATTTCTCAATTCAGGTATTTGTATTTTTCTTTTTTTTTTTTTAAGATTTTATTTATTTATTTGACAGAGAGAGACACAGCGAGAGAGTGAACACAAGCAGGGGGAGTGGGAGAGGGAAAAGCAGGCTTCCCGTGGAGCAGGGAGCCCGTTGCGGGACTCCATCCCAGGACCCTGGATCATGACCTGAGCCGAAGGCAGATGCTTAATGACTGAGCCACCCAGGCACCCCTGGGTATTTGTATTTTTCAACTATAGATATTCTTTTTGGTTCCTTGTTACAATTTCTATCTCCCCTGTATACCACTTCCCTGTATGTCAATTAACTAACTTATTTGAGAGAGCCTGAGCATGAGTTGGGGAAGGGAGGGGCAGAGGGAGAGGGAGATTTTTTTTTTAAGATTTTATTTATTTATTTGAGAGAGAGAGCATGAACAGAGTGTGGGGCAGAGGGAGAGAGAGAGGCAGACTCACTGCTGAGCAGGGAGCCCGACTTGGGACTTAATCCCAGGACCCTGGGATCATGACCTGAGCCAAAGGCAGACATATAACTGATTGAGCCACCCAGGCACCCCTGGAGAGAGCGAATCTTAAGCAAGCTCCATACCCAGCATGGAGCCCAATGCGGGGCTCAATCTCACAACCCTGAGATCATGACCTGAGCCAATCAATAGTCATATGCTTAACCAACTGAGCCACCCAGGCACCTCTTTATTTTTATGTAGAATCTACACCCAATGTGGGGATTGAACTCATGACCCTGAGATCAAGAGTTGCATGCTTTACCAACTGAGCCAGCCAGGTGCCACCTCCAATGTCATTTAAAATGTCAACTTCTCTAGGGGCGCCTGGGTGGCTCAGTCGTTAAGCATCTGCCTTCGGCTCAGGTCATGATCCCAGGGTCCTGGTATCGAGTCCTGCATCGGGCTCCCTGCAACGCGGGAAGCCTGCTTCTCCCTCTCCCACTCCCCCTGCTTGTGTTCCCTCTCTCACTGTTTCTCGCTGTCAAATAAGTAAATAAAATCTTAAAAAAAAATGTCAACTTCTCAGAGTCTCATCCCATCTTCCCTTTGGGGTCTTACATGTCCTATCACATTCCTCCGTCCATAATCTCTTGCCACAGGTGTCTGTGAGTCTGCAGCTTTCACAAGTAATGCTCACTGCTTTCCATGGCTTTTTCCAGACTGAGATTCAAGCTATTCCACTCTTCCCCTTCTGAGCTCCCAATCCAAAGAAACAGAACAATCCCTCAGGGAGCCTCCAGACAGGTTAGAATGTCGAGAGTAAAGTCTGCTCTGCTCCCTCCATTTTGATGGAGGGAATTGGGAACTGGGCTATTGTCCCCTTTAGACCACCCTACACTGCATCATACCAGGGAGGTGTTGAGACAAAGGTGAGCAAAGATGCCATGAAATTTCCTATTCTGAATGTGGGTTTTTATTAATTGGGCATTTGCTTGATTGCTGTAGTCCATTAATTATTTTCCAGGGGCTTTATAATGATATTTTAGCCTATCTACAGTCTTTAAAATGTTTTCATGGGCAAAAACCGCCTGGAACCTCCTAGTCTGCTGTCTTGTAAATGTCACTCCATTGTGGCCAGTATTATACTCCCATTTATCTGAAGGTTCACTAATAGTTTCAAACTGGATATGTGAATGCAGGTTTCAGGCCTCCCTCATGGTTCCTCAGTAGGAATCAAAATGGGATATGTTTTAATAGCACAAAATTAAATTCAACTTATGTGTACTTGTAACTACATCAAGGTGGAAGCACTTACATGCTATATTAATGCAATTAAAAGAAGTGTAAAACAGTATTAGTAGGTTTTGTTTTGCAAAAGTGGTTAGCAATTCTGAAACTACTTTCTGTACATTCTATCTCCCCAGAAGTTGCTTATTAGCAATTGCATAGTGGAGAAATCTGAAAGGCACTACCTTAACCAAATGATCAAAGTTGACAGGGCCAGAATGGGACTATATACCTCTGATATGGGTGCATTAGAATTCGACAATTTTTTTGTAGTATTCCTGCTAAAAATTATCTGAATTTAACACCAAGAAAACATTAGTGAAATCCAAATGTCAATGTTACGAAAATACAAAGAAATCATCCGGAAAACAGTAACAATTTGTGGCCTCTCATTTAAGGTGAAACCTGTGTGGTTTTTTTCTTTTTCCAGCCACGTTCCGCGGTACTGCATGGGTACAGGTGCGCAGTAGGCAGAAGTCGTTCTATAATCAGATTTGTATTTAACCAAAGCAAGAGAGCAGCCAGCAAGTTTCGGGTGTACACACGCGAGTGACCAGACTGACCATGCAAGTTAAGAAGGGAGCAGGGGGGTGGCGGGGTGCGGGGCTCTGATCAGTGCATGGGGGGAGGGGACTTCCAAATCTGGGCAGGAGTGGAGGAAACTACAAAAGGTCAGATATAAAATACACATGTGGCAAGTGTGGCACGTTGACTTTTAACGGGGTCGACTTGAAATTGGTGAGATTATGTGTGGTGAATGACGCTTATTTCCTTTTATTTTATTTTTTTAAAGATTTTATTTATTTGAGAGAGAGAGAGCGCACAAGGAGGGGGAGGAGCAGGCTCCCCGCCCAGCAGGGAGCCGGAGGGGCTCGATCCCAGGACCCCGAGATCATGACCTGAGCCGAAGGCAGAGGCTTAACTGACTGAGCCACCCAAGGCTCCCCGCCGCCTTCTTTTCTTTTAAAAATGTACTTTTAAACTTTTCAATTAGGAAATTTTTCTTTAGGAAATCTACACATCCCCTCTTTCGATATACTTCTCTCTTGGGACAAGGCCCGGGGCTGAGGTGGGCTGGAGGAGGGGCGGCTGAGACAGCGGACCCGCCGTAAATGCTGCCTGTTTCCCGATGTCTCCGCGCCGAAGTGCCCTCCCGCAGGAGCCAGGCCTCCCACGCGTCGAGCACTTCAGGAACCCGCGACCTGGGAGACCAGCCCGCGGCGCCGCCGGCTCCTGTTCCGCGCCGGTCCTCTCGTCAGGCTGCGCCCGCGCTCAGGCCGGGGTCAGCACGGCACAGGGTCCCACGCACGTCCTGCCGCCCAGGACTACGCCTCCCGGCGGTCCCCGCGCCGGAAGCGGCTCCTGCCCCGGCCTGCCTCCGGCTGCCGATTGGCTGCTGCTGGCCGCCGGCCGCGCGGGGGCTCTCTGCCCTGAGGGGGCGTCGGTCCCTCAGCCGAGACCTGGCGTGCCGGTTGGGGTTGAAGTGGGGGATGGTGGCGGCTGGCGGTGAGTAGGCGTCGGTCTACGAGCTGGTGTGTTTGTGCTTCTGTGTGAGGCGGTGGATACGGAAACGGACTGAGCGTTGGGACAGGTCGTGGCCGCGCGGCGTCCCAGCGTGAGGAAGGTGGGGCCGAGTCGCGGGGCGGGGCCTGGCCGCGCGGAGGGGCGGGGCCGAGACTGGGCCCCACCTGCGGCCCCTGGCAGGTGGGTGTGACTTGCCGGTGTGACTGCTCACCTTGGCGAACGGTTCCGTGCCTACGCTGTGTGGTCCTGAGGGCCGGTGGAGGTCGAAGCTGCGTGTCTCCTGTGTTAAAGGGCCTAAGTGTTCTTCAGAGTGGTTCTTCCAACTCCTGGTACTGATCTTTTGATATTGCCGATTTGCTCTTGTATTTTTATTGTATTGTTAGTCTTGTTTGCGTATACTATACACACTTCAGGAAATTATACATATGATTACACAAGTTGATGAATTTTTGCAATCCTAATACACCTTGGTAATCAGCACTGAGACAAGGTGAAAAAAGGCCATTGCCAGCATTTCACTTATCCTACACTCCAGCCCCATTACTTTACTGCCAAGAATAACTATTATCCTGATTTCAAACATCATAGATTACCTTTATTTAAAACCTTTTCTACTTGGGGGGCGCCTGGGTGGCTCAGTCGTTAAGCGTCTGCCTTCGGCTCAGGTCGTGATCCCAGGGTCCTGGGATCGAGCCCCGCATCGGGCTCCCTGCTCCGCGGGAAGCCTGCTTCTCCCTCTCCCACTCCCACTGTTGTGCTCCTGCTTTCTCTGTCAAGTAAATAAAATCTTTAAAAATAAATAAATAATTTTTCTACTTGGAATCATTCCCTACTGGGCTTTTTTCTGTCTTCTTTTGTTCATTCTTTTGTTCAGGGTTATGCTTATCATGTTTATATTCTTGTTCGTTATAGTTCATTCATTCTTACTGTTTTATAGTACCCTATTGTGTGACTATAACAAAATTCCACCGTCTCATGCACTTGCAGTTTCCATTTGGGGACTGTTACAAATGCCGCTACCATGAACTTTTCAGCAGGTGTCTTTTAGTGCATGTAAATGTGCATTTCTGTTGGGTTTATATCAGAAGTCACATTGTTGGTCCTTAAAGAGTAAAAATGTTCAACCTTAATGGATTCAAACTAGTTGCCCTAATTTATACTCCCACCATCAGTGTATGAGACTCTCAGTTGCTTCAAATCCTCACTAATATTTGGTACTTTTCATGTTTTCATTTTAGCTCTTCCAGTGGGTGTACATTTCCCTGATAACTAATAAGGTTATGTACATTTTCTTGTTTATTGGCCATTTGGGTATTCTCTTTTGTGAAGTGACAGTTTAAGTTTTTGTCCATTTTTCTATTGGGTTGTCTTTTCATTATAGATTTAAAATATTATAAAGACAAATTCCTTGTTGGACAGATGTACTGTAGTAAATACCTTACTCCAGTTTATTTTAAAGATTTTATTTATTTAGGGGCGCCTGGGTGGCTCAGGCCTTAAGCGTCTGCCTTCGGCTCAGGTCATGATCCCAGGGTCCTGGGATCGAGCCCCGCATCGGCCTCCCTGCTCCGCTGGAAGCCTGCTTCTCCCTCTCCCACTCCCCCTGCTTGTGTTCCCTCTCTCGCTCTCTCTGCCAAATAAATAAAATCTTAAAAAAAATAAAAAATCTTTGCCCTTTTCAAGGCCACAAATATATTTTCTTGTAAGAGCATTAATATTTTGCTTTTCACATTTATATCTGCAACCACCTGGAATTGATATTTAAAGTGATTTTTTCCCCCATGGGAATATCCAGTTGACAAAGCACCAGTCATTGAAAAGCCATCCATTTCCCACTGTATGTAAGTTTTACTTTTGTCATGTATCAGGCAACTGTGAATGTGTCGTTGTTTTCCTGTACTCTTTATTTTGTCTCTTGGTCGTTTTATCCTAAGGCCAGTATCACAGTCTCTAAATTATAGTAACTCTACAACAGGTGCCAATATCTGATAATGTGAATCCTTTTTTTAAATATTTTATTTATTTATTTGAGAAAGAGAGGGCACATGTGTGCACAAGCAGGGCCAGCCATAGAGGGAGAGGGAAAGGGAGAAGCAGGCTCCCCACTGAGCAGGGAGCCGAGTGTGGGGCTGGATCCTAGGACTCCCAGGATCATGACCTGAGCCGAAGGCAAACTCTTGACCAACTGAGCCACCCAGGCGCCCCTGATAATGTGAATCCTTTACAAAGAATTCCTTTGTAAAATGTTTGTAAAGGATTCCTTTGAGATTGTCTTGTCTACTCACAGATCTTTGCACTTCTACAAGAGTATTAGAATCGATTTTCTAATTTCATTAAACTGCTTTTTTCAAAACTGAGATTGCATCGAATCTGTAAAGCTTTTTGAGAAAATTTACATCTATTCATAAATCTTCTAATCCATGAACATGGTGTATCTATATCACTATATAATCTTTCAATAATATCCTGTCATTTTTAGAGGTCTTAAAAACATCTTTTGTTTGGTTTATTAGTAGCTATTTGATTTATTCTTATATTGTTATTATTTTGAAAGATGTTATTCATTTATTTGACAGAGAGAGAGAGAGAGATAGAGCAGGAACACAAGCAGGGGGAGTGGGAGAGGGAGAAGCAGGCTTCCCTCTGAGCAGGGACCCCGATGTGGGGCTCGATCCCAGGACCCTGGGACCATGACCTGAGCCGAAGGCAGACGTTCAATGAGCTACACAGACCCAGGCGCCCCAGGTTTGCTCAATTTTTATCATAATGTTGCATTTTGTCATGATTTTTCTAGATCATTTGGTTTTCTTTTTTCTATTAATGAGGTGAAATACATTTGCTTTTTTTAAGACTGATGTATTAAAGTATTTGCTATATTATTATTTTTTTTAAGATTATTATTATTATTATTTTCTGACAGAGAGAGACACAGCCAGAGAGGGAGCACAAGCAGGGGGAGTGGGAGAAGGAGAAGCAGGCTTCCCATGGAGCAGGCAGCCTGACGTGGGGCTCGATCCCAGGACCCTGGGATCATGACCTGAGCCGAAGGCAGACGCTTAACGACTGAGCCACCCAGGCACCCCTCAACCAAGTATTTTCAAATTAAGGCATATATACTGTTTTTTTTTTTTTTTCACCCATAATACTACTGCACACTTACTAGGCTACAGTATAGTGTAAACATAACTTCTGTACGTACTGGGAAACCAAAAAATTAATCTGATTCACTTTATTGTGATATGTGCTTTATAGTGGTGGCCTGGAACCAAACCTGCAGTATCTTCCCAGTATGCCTGTATCCTAGAGAAATGTACTTACCTGCATACCAGTAGTTATGCACATAAATGCTCCAGCAGCATTGTAATAGCCCAAAATTGAAAAGTATCAAACTAACCACCAATGACATAATGAACATATAAGTTAACATTTATATAAGGATACACTATTGAACATTATGAAAAAATACACAGTACAAATTTCACATTATAGTGTTAAAAAATAATGCAGGACAGAAAGTCACATAAAGTTAAAAAGTACACTTATCATTTATTGATGCATAATTAGGGAGGTAAACTATAATGAAAAAACTGATCATAAAAGGGGTGGACAGGAAGGGTGATTTTGATTTTGATTAGGATGTTACTGAAGTGCTCGCAATGTTCTATGTTGTGACCTGGGTGGTTACCTGAGTGTTCTCTTTATATTTCTTAAACTTGATTTTTTTTTAGTTACTTTGTATATTTTCCAAATTCTCCTAACTGATCTGTAATTTTATAAGCAGAAAAAATACATTAAATAAAATAAAAAACAACACAAGAGAAAACTGAAACATTTGTCAAATTACTAACAGTTGGTTAGGGGGAAGGCAAGACACACTGGGCTCTTTAACATAAACACCCCACCCCAACATTTTCTCAAATGGTAAATACAAGAAACCGGGTCACTTGAAGGGCCTAGGTCCGGCATCAAAGGGGGGAAAAATCAAATCAGGAGGCAAGGAAATCAAGGCTGAGGAAAAAATGAATTATCACAAAAAGAAAATGAAAAACACCAAGGTACCTCCTAAGTGGTTCTCAGACATGCACCTCTTGGAGAGGAGCAGAACTGAGATAGTGGAGAAGATTCTCGAGAGGCCAGGATTTTCTCGGAGTCCAGACTCACCAAATTTGAAACTACCCTCAGCTCCGGCCCCTACCAACGCGCAACCGCGCGGACTCACACGCAGGACCTTCTCGCCGACTGAACGCACCGCAGGTGCGCGTCTGGGAAGTAGGCCGCGGGGCCCTGGAGCACGGGCACCGCCCCCCCGCCCCCAGGTGCGGCAGAGGGTCACAGACGCCCTCGGGGAAACAGCGGCCGCCGTACGCACGCACACACCTCCACGCCCGCGCCACTGCCCGCTCGCAGTCCCGAGGCTCCCACCGCGTCGCCCTGCGCAGGATTTGGGAAGCCCCCGCTTTCAGCGTCCTCTGGGTGCAGTCAGGAACGACCCGCACTGCCCTGCGGATCTGACGCGCTTGTGCCCCGGAAGCCTGAGCCCACAGAGGCCGAATTCTCCTGCCAACCCCAAAAGAAGCGCCAAAACCCCGAGATAACTGGAGTTGCGATGCAGAGCCTGTGAGCAACGCGGCGCGGCGCCGGCTCAGTGGCTCAGACACGGAGGCCGCTACCTGCAGCCCTGCCAGCACCAAGCCTACTCTCAGACGCGGCAGCCACGCCTGGCCGCACAGTCCCACACGGTTCTGGAAGCGTCTTTCCAGGCCGGCCCACTCCCCGGGGCACCAAACGTTGAGCGGACGCTGACGCCGCAAACACCGGGGAAATGT